TTCTGGACACCATGTGCACCACTTCTTTTTGTCAATCTCTGATAAATATTGAGGCACGCTCAAGTGAACCTGCATCATCAAAGCCAACAGCTGGATTAATACTAGATCCTATCTAATCGAGCCGAGAAACACCAAGTTATGCTTTAAGGGTAAAGTTTGTGTTGCGCTAACAGTGATTGACGTCTATAATGTTTCTTCCCATAATGAGCACCTCTGCATCACGGCTCTCCTGGTGTGTTTGAAGTGCTCTCTGCCCTAAGGTAATGCACCAGGATAAGGGCTCACATTCCTCATGTTCGGCACTTGCTTCCATATTTCAGTCTAGGCATTTCATCAGCTCAAAGCAGAAAGCCAGTCTGAATTCTTCTGTTATATCAGAGGAATTACCTGCAGCGGTAATGCAGGTTTACGCTGACTTATCAACATTTCAAAAAGTCTGCAGCGTTCTGCTGGGATTTAATGACTAATTATGTACGATAGTTGTAAAAGCGTTCAGCTGGCGTTCATATACTTTTCTACAGCATTTTAATTTGGCATATATAATAGTAATTAGGGCAATAGAGTCAGTGCAAGTGATTTTAATGTACCTCGCTCCACTTTTGACTCAACAGATGGGTCTGTAAAAAGACCAGTGTATAAAAAGATCGATTTATGTGCCTATTATTTATTGAGAGTCCTGCAGTCCTGCTATATCGATCTGGCATGCAGAAGTGATTGTCATTTTAAAAAGGTCTATGCTTAAAATGCAGTGCACAACACTGACTCAAGTCCAGTTTAGACATTTTCACGATTTTTGTAAGCTGATGTTTTGACTCAAATCAGATCCCCATGCAGAATTGTATTTCCTATTTTTCAATGGCATAAATAGTTAAAGGAAAGAAGTTTCTAATCGCTTAAGCTTGCATAGGCTAACCTGCATAAGCAGCCTTTTAAAGTGAGCCAATCAAGCAAGGTCACAGGGGTCTTGGAGTAAAATCGACACCAAAATTAACACCTGTAAACATTTAAAAGATGTGGAAATATATTTATAATGATTTATAACATATTTATAATAGTTTTTGGGCAATAATGCATTACTATTATTGTGTTACTGTAACGGCATTACTTTCGCCAGTAACTAATACTGCAATGTATTACTTTTTTTTAGATAGATTAACTCTTTAATCATTACAATATGAAGCGTTTGTCCGTTACTTGGTAAATTAATAAATTTTGGCTGCAGTCTAGCCTACATCTTCCTGTTTACAACGAAAACACATTGTGGGATTGGTGGATGCCAACCAACCACTGTAAAGAAGACGCATCATGTACGAGGTGCCAGACTAGACAACATTCAAGTGAAAACTGAGACAATGCGTGCGAGGTACAACAATTGTGCATGCGAGATATACTGAATGTGCTCGAGCTACTGTATGCCGAGTGTGTGCACGCGAGAGAACAACAGACTAATACGCTACTATTATTAATTACTATGACTAATACTACTATGTTTGTTGTTTCAAATAAATAAGCACACATTTGTTAACAGTGTAACAAAATTGATTAGTGAGACACAGAGACAGATTTCTGTTATATTTCAGAAAACGTCATTTAAAATGTATATATTGCTCAGAAAAATGCTGTGATTTATTTTTTTAATGTTTTTTTTTTTATTGTTTTGCACTTTGAGTATACACAACTTACTTTCCATAAGCTGTGCTGACATACCACATTTAATTTGTGGTTAGTTTAAAAATTGCTTATAGATTTGATTTTTGAGCAGCTGTTTTGTTTTTGTTTTGTTCAAAATGCATTCAATTTATGGTCGCCTATTTCATAAAGGTTTGTTGTATATTGTTGCTATTGTCATACTTAAGCCCTGAAGCAACATGTCTAAGGGTAAATACAAACTTTTATGATGCTGAAGTATCTTGAATATATTCTGAATGTATTATTTAGCTGGTTTATAACCTTGTGAATTTATTTTTATTTTTTTTATTTTATTTTTTTTTTTGCTGGTGCTGCTGCTGGTCTGCCTTAAACAAATTAGTGTTTAAATATTACTTTTTATTTAAGTTTGTCTTGTGTTTTAGTTGTGAGAATGCAAATGTATTTTAAAAAATTATGTGAAGTTGATCAACAGTGTATTCTCCATGCAGCACTGAAGTGACGTTATAAGAGCACTTACGGGAGCATTAAAAATGTTCTTTGAAAAAATTTCCTCAAAAATGACTTTTAACAGTAATGCATTACTTTTTGATGTAAATAATCCATAAAGTAATCGATTTACTTTTTGAATGAAGTTACAAATAACTGTAATTAGTTACTATTTTTCGGTAACTATGACAACACTGTTTATAGTGATGTGGCTATATTTTAAAAATGGTGGGTTGTTTTAACTCAACTTTGGGTCAGATTTGAACAAACCCAACTAATGTGTATGTATGTACTGTATGAATGAATGAATGAATGAATGAATGAATGAATGAATGAATGAATGAATGAATGAGTGAGTGAATATATGAAATTACTCAGTTGTTGGTTTTGTAAATGTTATTGGAAATTTCAGTTGAATCAACTCTTTTTTTTCTGCTTTGTTTTTTGAGGACAGCTAGTCAATCTAAGCCACAAGAGCAAGAATGCTATTTTCCCTGAAAATCAGCATGTTTGCAAATATCACATTGATTTTATGAGGTTCAGTAAACAAAAAGTTCAGAATATTGTCTGTTTTTGCTCCATTGATAATCATTCCAAGCTAATTCACAGTAGGCCCATTGTATGTCCATGGATAAACACAGTAATGTTTTGTTACTGAATAAATCCCAATTTTATATTTAATCATTCTAATGAGCGGTTGAACAATAACTCACAAAGCCACGCTTTGTCTTTGTCCCTGAATGAATCAGACGTTTTTAATCATTTGACTGAGTGATTCAATTACTCACTCATTAAGAAAAGATTTTCCTCCACCTACTGGCAGTACAGTTTCATATATCAGTGTATCTTTTCATTATTTTTAAAGAGAAAGGTTTCCAGCTGTTTCTTTCAAACAAGCATCTGAACTGCAAAGGCAGTCTCTGCTAAGCTGAATGAAAACTGATATTCCAAAGAAAAGTTCTACACATGTTCAAAAATGCTGTATTGTTTCACTGCAAGTTTGGGCAAAATATGGGCAAACCTAACCGTTGACATAAAATTTGTAAAAAATGTAACTTTTAAAGTTTGTCCATATTATACCTAAATTTGGCTAGAAACAACCCAGATTTTTTAGAGTGATACTATTTAATTTAGCCAGCTAAAGTATAGCTTCTGTAATTATTATGATGTGATGTGTAATTTAAACAATAATAAACAGACACCCCAAAATGGAAAATTCTTTAATAAATTATTTAGCTTGATTGACAATAATATATATTTTTAATCATAAAATATTCTTCAAATTATATTTGTGTGTGTTCAGCTTGAGTAATCCATTAAAGTACAAATGGTATTAGGATAAATGCATTTCCATTTTGGGATGAACACATAAACTATACCTTTGATTAATGTATTTCATCGCCATTGAAACTCTCATGGCTCGTTTCCACTGAGTGGAACAGTACGGTATGGGTCGGTACAGGTCACATTTATCAGTCTTATGTTTCCACTGCCAAAAGGGTACCAATGTTGGGCGTGGTGTACGACAGAAAGTTTCAGTCGACATCATTCTCGCTCGAGAAAATGTCAAAGTAAACCTGGACATGTCATTCATATCATATGAGAAGCACTTCTCACAAAACAGATGCTTTATACACATAAATACTTGTGTTTAAATGTTCATCACTAACCTTTCTATAAACATGATTTGATTATAACTGCAGATCAACAAGCAAAATAGCTGACTGTAATGTCTGCAATTATGTAAAATAAATGCAACATATATGAACACATACAGACCCTTACAATCTCTGATATGTTGCCAATTAGAGAAAAACTACACACAGCATACATTTAGTCCTTTTTACAGTTCAAACACAACACAAATAGTGCACAGTCAGTGCAAACCTCTCATCTGTATCTTTAATCTTCACCAGCACATGTAACCTCTATTAGAGAGTAATTCCATCATTCTGAGTTTATAATACTCTAAAAGGCGATAATAATTGATAAACATGGCAGTTAGTTCATGTTGTAGGTTGCTGAACCAATCCTTTGCTTCTTTGTTTTATCGTGCGTCACTCTTGCATTTGTCTATTTCTGAAAGAATCAGATGTCAGAAGCACTTCAATAATCATGCGCACATTATTATCATCAGCTCAAGAAGTTTGTTATTTCAAATAAAGATGCGCAACAAACTAGAGATCACGAGCGCAAAGTGAAACCACTTGCGCTTTAGATGGCCTCGTAAAACAGCAACAAGACAACAGGTTCATCTTCTTGGTTTTGTGACTGTTCACCAAATCGACAAACCAATCGTTTGTTTGAGTTCGGGTCAATCAAGGCTCGTTATTAAATGTATATATTATAACAATGTAATGTCTTGGCTGTGTATTAAAAAATGGCGCTTCCTTTGCTTTCATTCTCCTGGCTTGTACACTGATATTTGTCTGTACAGCAATAGAATTAGGCTGCACTTCTCACTCCGCCTTTGGGTACCCTTTTGTTGTGCTAGGTACCCAAAAAGTGGTACAGTACAGTTCACTTTTAGATTCCTTTTGACAGTGGAAATGGCCATAAAAGTAAACCAGACCATACTGTACCACTCAGTGTAAACGGGCCATTACTATAGCTTTGTTGAGGTGGACTGTGTTCTGTGGGACTACTTTTGACATCTTTGTTTCAATGTGCAAGATATTTGATTTTGTCCTCTTGTCATTCTCTTGTGAGCTTGTTTGAAAGTGTTGGTCATTGTTGTAATTGTGTGTAAATGCTTGCTTATCAGTTCCATTTGTTTTTTTTCCCCATTTCTCCTTTTTATGCATGCTGTTCCTCCTGTTTCCCTCCTCCTTCCTCCACCGCACCTCCTCTCCTCGTGTGCTCAGACGCTGCGCCCAGCACTGAAGCCGCAGCTCACGGTTGGTACCTCTCCCTCCTTTCTCTGCCAGCACAGCATGGCATTCTCTGCATGCCAGCCGAGTACAGTACGGCACGTTACAGAGACATGCACGGGGATGCTGGAATGAAACTAATGTGGATTTGATGTATATGTGTGTGTCTGTCCGTTTGTATGTCTCACTCTTTATTCCTATTGCCATTCACCCAACAAAGACCCACCTGTTCGCCAAAGTGCTCCTCTGGGAGTTTTAATCAGAGCATTCGCCGTGCAATTCCAGGCAACGTCGCACATCCATCCCTCCTGCATGAGCCCTTCTCCAGTCCTCTCCAGCATTTTTGACTCCTCACCTTTTTTCGAGTCCTCACGCATCTCCCAAAAGACACTCGTAATCCGCCCGCAATCATTTTTCATGAATTTAAATGACGTCCAAATGGCTGTTTTTGATTTGGGAGAAACGGATTCGGAGAGCCTTTTCTCTACATGACGCAGATGGCATTGTACTCCACCTTGGTGCGCCAGCTCTGCGTCCAAATCACAGAACGGGGACCATTTGCATAGCTCACGGGCTTTATTGTGTTTTACAATATAGCAGGAAAGCACTTTCTCAATTCATTAAGCCCTTTATCCTCTCTCTCAGTTTGCAGTGGCAGATGCTTGTGTAAATGTGTTAGATTTAGTATAAAGGCTTTTGGTGATACTGTGTAATGATGTCACCTGTGCCTCGTAAAACACCCTCTAATGATTTGATTAGCCCTCATGTCGTGTGTCGCACCTCAAAATTGACACTTTTCCGGTGCAAAATTGAATGGTTCGAGTTGAGGAATGGGGATTTGTTTACACATATCTGCAACTTTCCATATGGAAAAGGTTAAACCGTATCCAAGCGGTACAACGGCTAAAGGTTAGGGCTATTCTTTTGCATGTATGTAATTTGGACGTGCCTACAGAACGTGGTCAGGCTTGACTGTGTAGCAGAGCTATAATTGAGCTTTTGTACAGTTCGCTGCATTTCTAAATACCATGTCACAAGGCCAGTGTTAACCTTGTACAGTTATATCAGCCCGGCAGTGCTGTATAACTGAATCACTGTACGCTTCCAATAATCCAAAGCCATTTTTGATGGTATAAAAGGGTTTCGGTCATGCTTAGAGAACACAAGGTGAACCCTGAGGGCTTTGTCTCATGAAACAAATTGGTTTTAAATGCAGTGCTTCTTATCTCTGGGTTGTCTATTCGTGACATGGAGCTTTTTATTTTTGGCGAAGCTTTTATGCGAAAAGGCTTAGTCATCTCAATGCATCCTGTCCTCGCGCTCATTATCGAAATGGACAGGAAATGCCTTGTTTGTAAAATGTCAAGTATGCAGCGGCGTTCTTTAATCCGACTGTGGAATTGATGTCCTGACCTGTTGCAATTTCTGCTAATGTTAAGATGCTTGTTTGTGTTAGACTTCACACCTTGGCATATAAAACAAGCACATCGCATTAGAATTAAGTTGCATTGTTTTAAGAATAAAGACATGCAGTCTTGTCTAGTGCAGCTGATGGTGGCAGAGCAAAGCTTTCCTCTTCAGAAGATCCTCTCATTTGCATCTTGTCGCACCTTGTGTGTTTTGTGTGGTTCACTTTTGTAGCTGATGCACATCCTCTGTTTACCATCTTATTTTCCTGGGTGTGCTACTCTCACTGTTCAGGAGATTTCTCTTCTCTCTGATAACAGTCTTTTTTACCCTCTCTGGTGTAGCCTAGCAACAAGCTGTTCAAGCAGTAAGTGGGGTTTTCAGCAGAGGTTGAGGTAGGAGGCTGACATAGTGGGCAAGATTTCTTGCTGGAACAGAAAGCTACAGCAATGCCACGGGGAAAAAAACAGTCTTATTTGGGCATTTGTGTTGCATTTATTCCACTTTTATTGGTGTTTACTCTTGCTGTTTGAATGCTATTGTGCAGGATGAATTTGATTTAACCTTGGAGGTTTTGCCAAAAATGTGCATTTATAGGCTTCACACAATGTGCTTGAAGTGCTTGAATTTGACTTTTGAAGTTTATGTACTGTTAAACGAACTTATGAAAAGCTACTTGAAAAAAGTTGGTATATTGGTAATTGCTAAATTACTTTCAAGTGTTTAATAAGCAAATACAATATTTTTACTCAACAAATAACACTTCAGCTTGTCCTTATTTAACCTCATGTGCTCGTGCCTTTGTAATGTGGTCCTTGAACAATTTTGTTTTTAAAGTGTTCTAAAGCTTCTTGAAAATACTGGAATTTCGTAATACGTTACAAAGACAATTTATTCTATTAAATACATTGATTAGATGTTAAGCAACTCAGTGGCTCAGTGGTTAGCACTGTCACCCCACAGCAAGAAGGTCTCTGGTTTGAGTCTCTGCTGGACCTGTTGGCATTTCTTTGTGGAGTATGCATGTTCTTCCTGTGTTGGCTTTAGTTTGCCTTTACATGCTTCGGTTTCCCCCACAGTCCAAAGAAATGCAATAAAGGTGAAATTAAATAAACTCAATTTGCTGTATGTGTGTACATGTGAGTGTGTATGGGTGTTTCCCATGGGTTGCAGCTTGAAGGGCATTATATTGTTATTATTTATTATTATTATTATTATTATTCATTCATTCATTCATTCATTTTCTTGTTGGCTTAGTCCCTTTATTAATCCGGGGTCGCCACAGCGGAATGAACCGCCAACTTATCCAGCAAGTTATGCAGCGGATGCCCTTCCAGCTGCAACCCATCTCTGGGAAACATCCACACACATTCACACACACACTCATACACTATGAACAATTTAGCCTACCCAATTCACCTGTACCGCATGTCTTTGGACTGTGGGGGAAACCGGAGCACCCGGAGGAAACCCACGTGAAGGCAGGGAGAACATGCAAACTCCCCACAGAAACGCCAACTGAGCCGAGGTTCGAACCAGCGACCTTCTTGCTGTGAGGCGACAGCACTACCTACTGCGCCACTGCCTCGCCTTCTTCTTCTTATTATTATTATTATTATTATTATTATTATTAGTAGTAGTAGTAGTAGTAGTAGTAGTAGTTGTAGTAGTATATTATTATTATTATTATATTATATTAATATTATTATATTCTATTATTATTATTATTGTTTTTGTATTGTTATTAATAATATTATTATGGTATTATTATTATTATTATTATTATTATTATTATTATTATTATTATTATTATTGTTCTATTCTATTATTATTATTTATTTATTTATTTATTTTATTACACCACTTTTAGGTATGCAAAAAAGACAATTTAATAACTAAACTGTATTTACAATAAACTCCTTTTCATCAGGAGTCACCTCAGTGGAAAGAACCAGCAACTTATCCAGCATATGTTTTACACAGCAGATGCCCTTCCGGCTGTAACCCAGTGCTGGGAAACTCTCATACACACTCACTCAGTCATACTCAAACACTACAGTCAATTTAGTTTATTAAATTGTGGGGGAAATTAAAGTACCCGTAGGAAACCCTTGCGAACATGGGGAGAACATGCAAACTCCACACAGAGATGCCAACTGGCCCAATCGGTACTTCTTGCTGTGAGGTGACAGTGCTCACCACTGAGCCACCATGTCACCTAAATACTTAATATAAATATTTTATTTGTTTTATTGCTATGCTGTTTTTTAATTTTATTTCAGTCTGTTTCATTTAAGTTTTTACTAGCAACACATACACCTAGACTACCTAATCAGCCTAATGCTAATCAGCCAAACCTACTTCCTCACATTCCTCAGCTTTCTCCCTTCATCAGGTGACTCCACCGCAGAATAATCCGTCATCAGTAAAGTCACGGTACCTAAATAGTATTAACCTGCAATATCATTGCTTGACTTTTGTTAATATAATACAACTGGTACAGTAACATCAACAACACAGAAATAGGTTTCTCTAACAAACACGTCAACAGATGGAAATGAAATGTGTTGTGACTGCCATTTTATGCTGTCTTTAATGAAATGTGTTGTGTGGTGCAGCTGAATATGAATTACACTGCAGACTAGAAGAAACATGGTTGGCAGGGTCAGATAGATCAAATTCTTATCAGCGTGTCAGCAACCCTGTCAAACCCTACTGTATCATCACACCGGCACCTTCGGTATTAATCACACCGCACTTCACCTGACCCATTGCGTGTACGGTCACGCTCTTTTCTGCCTGCGTCTCCTCCTGCTGATTTATTGCCATTATGTCACTGTTTTCAAAGCAATTTACTGTATGTAGATTTCGTTCTTGTTTTTCCTTCTCAGCCACTGTAAATTGTGATAGTGATAAGCCCATTCAGTAGGTGCTCCACCTGACTCTTTCTTTCTTTTCTCTCTCCATATATATCGCTCCATCCAGGCGTACTCTTCATTCCTGTTCATTTCCAGAGAGGATGATTGAACACACTTCACTTCTTCTTGTCATTTCATCATCCTTTGTTCAGTGTCGCACCACACAACATGTTTGAGGCTGGGCTCAGTAAACATGACGGTGGCGTCTTCTGATGATGTGCTTTAAGTAACAATGTGACAAAGAGCCTGTAAGAAACCAGGTGTAAAATAACCGCTTTGTTTGCTCACGATTGCGGCAAATGGAAAATCACTCCACTTTGGCCAACCGGTTTGGAGGACTATTTGCTCGCAATTATAAAAGTAAAACTTTTCAATCCTCGTTCTCAATATAAGCCTTTTCATAAAGGAGGAGCGGGTCTTTTCAGTAGGGATGGAATAATGGCTTTCGTGTTTCTGTTGCTGTGGCCACACCTCTGTCACACTTTTCATAATGGCAGAAATGAATTTCATTTAAATTTTTGTGTCCTGTGAATGCTAAAGAGAATGGCTTTTGTGAAACAAAGCCTCTAAAATAAATAGCAGGCTTTAGAAAAGGATGAATGAAAATCTGTGAGTGTCACACATGGTGCCAAAATTAAGCAAGGGCTTATTTAAGCCTATCTCTCCCTCGCTCTCTCACCGGTAAATCTAAGCCGCTGTTTG